GCTGACTGTATAGAGCTTCTCCATCTTTGACTGCAAAGAATGTAATCAGTCTGATTTCAGTGTTGACCATCTGGTGATGTCCATGTGTAGCGTCTTCTCTTGTGTTGTTGAAAGAGGGTGTTTGCTGACCAGTGCATTCTCTTGGCAAAACTCTTATTAGCCTTTTCCCTGCTTCGTATTGTACTCCAAGGCCAAATTTGCCTGTTACTCCAGGTATTTCTTGACTTCCTACTTTTGCATTCCAGTTGCCTGTAATGAAAAGGACATCTTTTTTGGGTGTTATCCATGTTGCTGCAAATAATGTTGTTTCATTCTTTGTTATGGCTGAGCAATATTATGTTGTATGTATGTGCATGTCTAAGTTACTTTAGTTATTTTGCTGCTTTATGACTTCAGTAATTGGTCTAATTTTATGCTTGCTCTCTCCCCCCAGCGATTTTTTATAGTAATGTTTTTAACAGTTAATAGTATGAATTCTTAATATTTTAAATTATATTTGTATTATTTTACCTCAAACACCCATGTCTTTTATTTTTCTTGGTGGATTTCAATGACTTTACTTTAGCATCATGCATACATTGAAACTGTTTTTATTTCTCTTAGAGGAGTACAGATAATTCCCCTGAGATTGTTTTGTTACTCTCAGACTCCTAAGCCTGTGTAAAAGCTTGAAAATGCTCCTTTGTAGAATTCTGTTACAATTTAAATGGTACTCACTCCCCTGAACACACTTGTGCACAGATGGGCATGTGTGCGCATGCACACTCACACACTTAACTTTCACATATGCAGAGCCCTGGGGGTCCAGAAGGACTGAACCATGACTGCACTGATATTTTGAGGACTTAGAATAAGGTTCATTAGGTTAAGGTTACTGGTTTAGAAAGAATGTACAAGTTTTACCCCTTCTGATTGTAGGATCATGAAGTGAAGTCGCTCAGTCATGTCTGACTCTTTGTGACCCTGTGGACTGTAGCCCACCAGGCTCTTCCATCCCTGGGATTCTTCAGGCAAGAATACTGGAGTGGGTTGCCATTTCCTTCTCCAGGGAATCTTCCCGACCCAGGGTTCGAACCCGGGTCTCCCGCATTGCAGGCAGATGCTTTAGCCTCTGAGCCACCAGTGATCATAATTGGTAACAAAAGACCCTACAATTTTTTGATACTGAGGATGAGAGTAAATTATCTTTGAAAATGTATTCTTATGTTTGCAAACTATATCTAAAAAATGAGTCAGTAGAATGAAGAAAATTAAGAACTAGTGAAACAACAAAGTATGATCTTAGACCTTTAAATAGTTTGTCAGGTTACATTGTACAAGTCACTTATCTTGTTTTCACATTTGTGAAGTACTTACGCTGAATTACTTCAATTATACAGATTCTACATTCTGTATTATACAGTTATACAGGTTCTACAAAGCTTTGGCCTCTTCAGTGCAGGTGTAATGGGCAGATGGGACTTGTGAGGCCTTTGCCTATACTGTGCTGTAGAGAACTCAGTCACTTGGACTTCGATCATTTTAAATGTAAACAGAAAACAGCAAGTTCAGAGAGAACTGCTTCTTCTTTGAGTACTGTGCATACTACTGTTTCTGATTTTAAAAAAAGCAAAGCAAGTTCCACCTCTGCTCTCTTAAGAACATTTGAAACAAACCCATAGAAAATATAAATTAAAAAAGTTTTTTCATTAAGATTTTTCTCCTTTGAAACATTGGGAGTGTGTGTATAAACATTTTGACCCTGAATCTCTAGTGCTGATAACTTTATGAACTTGTTGTTTAGTCCATTAAGTCATATCTGACTCTCTTGCAACCCCATGGACTATAGCCCACCGAGGCTCGTCTCTCCATGGGATTTCTCAGGCGAGAAGACTGGAGTGGGTTGTCATTTCCTCCATCTTGGGATCTTAAGTTTATGGCGAGGATCTCTTTAGCTGTGGCTGCTTTTTGAGTAGCTTATATGAATAGGCTTAAAGAGTGATCTGAATTAAGTGAGAGTATATATCTCAGTAGATCTTAGCCATTTCAGAAGTGTTTGAAAGAGGGGGAAAGAAAGGATGAACATAATATACTTTCACTTACAAATACTTTTACACTCTCACATATATCCCTGTAGTCTTTTTTGAGAGCAAATATAGGCTGATGATTTGCCATGTAAACATCTACAGGATCTACTAAAATAGATTCTCCACTTATTTAATGAAAGTATCTCTTAAGTTTTGCTCATTTGTTTATTTAGATTCAAAGCAAACTAATTTCATAAAAATGCAACTGCTTCAACATTTGTGACTTAATGTATAAGGGATTCCATAGTTGTTGATCAGTTACACATTGACCCATAAGGTAATATGTGAACTTCAATTATAATGCCTGAACTTTGTAAATGTACTTCTTTTCACTAGAAAACTGTTGCCAATAAAGAATTTCTGGTGAAAAAATTTTAGTAGAGCAGGATTTACTGACTTGTTACTTATTTTTCATTGGCTACTTTCATTGGCTAGTAGGAAATTCTTTTGGATTATTATCCAGCTGACAAATATATTAAGTGAAAGATAAGTGATACCTGAATCTTATGGGGAGAAAAAAGGAAAACAGTTTAAAATATTGCCATTTTATATCTTTTTGTATAGACAGCTTACTATGTAAAATTAGGCTTTTGGGACAAAGACAATCTACCTTAATTTTTACAGGAGAGCACCTCTGAGAAGGTAAGGGATTTTCCCAAAATCATATGATTAAAAGCAGAGTAAGGGTTAGAATTCAGGTATTCCAACTTTGAGACTCTTCCCTTTCTCCCCAGTCATCCATTCCATTCTGCTCTTTATTCATTATCAGGCAACATCTTCTAGTCTGAAAAACCAAATCACATTTTTCTAAAAGTTTATATTTTAAAATCTTTTAAACAGGCTGCATATTTTTACTCAAAATCAGTGACTAGAGATATAGAATTCTAGAGTAAAGCCTGTTAGGCATGAAAATTAACTTTTAGACTATGAACAACTTAGTAGCACTTTTTTTCTTAAATTTTTTTGTCTCACATTAGAATACTTAGATGTAAAGCATTATTTATTTATACAAAAGGCTCTATTCATTTTTTTCTGTAGCTATGTGGAAATATTTTTTGCTCTGGAAAGATATATAAAATATTCTTTGGCATTAAATGATTAAAATTGGAACTTTTTTTTTTACAAGTTCTAGTGGACACATAATTTGTTAGTTCATTTTCTACTTTAACTTTGGAATGGGAGTAGTTTTTGAATAATTAGGATGTAGGAGAATCAGTTAAGGTCAGTAAATCATTTCTTTTAAAATCCATGGAGCAGAATTTTATACGTTATATTATCAGAATTTTCCATCTGTCAGTCTATGTTTTGTAAATGTTTTCCCCACCACAGGAAAATTAACAAAGCTAACAATTGGGGGATCATTACTTTCTTTTTAAAAGACGTATCAGGAATTTAAAATATAAATAAATTGGAGGTATAGAGGAGCACTCAAAGTTGTAACTAACTTGTGGACTTTAGTCATGATCCAAGACCATAGAGGTTGAGGGCTACAATCTGTGTTTATATGCACGGTCTTAGCATCAGTTACAGAAGTCTCATAACAAATGCATTTTAAAAAATTATAGCTTACTAACTTCATTAATTAAAATCCTCTTGATGAAAGTTATTTTATCTTAGAAGGTAGCCTTAGACATTCTCCTTTAATTTATTGATTTAGAACAAAGTGTTTGAAAAAGCATATGAAAAGCTTTGGAATGGTGTCCAGCTTACTGATGATATTTTTCTCTTTTTGTAGTTTATAAGGCTGAGTACTTTAAACTCCTTTTTGAATGGAATTTTACTTCAGTAATAAGTAGTATTCTGTCCAAAGGGTGTCAGCATTTTGTAATGTCGAGGCTTCACTGTGGTCTAAAGTGGTACAACATTTTAATTTGGAAAGTTGGTCAGGGACATCCATATGATGGTATACATTTCCCAGTGCTTCCATGTTCTACTAAACTGGGATGAAAAATACATTAAGATTTACGTTAAACTAGATGTTTTCAAAGTTGATGGGGGAATTCCCTGGCAGTCCAGTGGTTAGGACTCAGTGCTTTCACTGCCAGGGCCTGAATTTGATCCCTGGTCAGAAAATTAAAATTCTTCAGGTTAAAAAAGAAAAAGGTTGAGGAGTCAGGGGAAAAGGGTTTGGGATGGGGCTTATGGAATTTGGGACTCCAGGGTGGCAGGTGGGGGAGGTCAAAGCATCCCTTACATTATAAATAGAAGGGAAATTTTGATTGGAACCTTTAGGTCACATGATTCTTTCCCTTTTTTTGTGTGTGTTACAGGCAAAGGGGAAGATAGCGATGTACTCAGTATAAATGCAGACGCTTATGACAGCGACATAGAAGGCCCCTGTAATGAAGAAGCAGCTGCTCCTGAGGTCCCAGAAAATACAGTCCAGAGTGAAGCTGGTCAGATAGATGACCTGGAGAAAGACATTGAGAAAAGCGTGAACGAGATTCTGGGACTTGCAGAGTCTAGTCCAAAGGAGCCCAAAGCCGCCACCCTGACTGTTCCTCCGCCGGAAGATGTTCAGCCTTCGGCGCAGCAGCTGGAGCTGCTCGAACTTGAAATGAGGGCCAGAGCTATTAAAGCCCTGATGAAAGCTGGTGATATAAAAAAGCCATCCTAGTTTATTTAAGCTGTGTCTAAATATTGGATGTGTTTGAGCAATGCCACACCATATCATTTTGTATCTAAAATGTATCTAAATTTGGTGTCTTACCTGATATTTCTCATATAACTCTTACTAGATAAACTCATTTTAGATCTAAAATACATGTTGTTGTTGTTGTTACTTTTGTATTATGTAATTGTTTTTTGAATTCACGACACATATCATTGGGTAATCTAGATACTTTGTTAGGTGAGTATTTAGTATATCTGCAAATTAATATTTGAAAAGCCATTAGCTAAAAAGAGTCATGATATTTTTTTCCTTTATTTTGAAATATTTTGGCATCAAACCAAAAAGTTTATGAAAGATTGATCAAGCATGTTGCCTTCAGGCTACCTATATTTTGCAATAGAATATTAAATTATTGCTTCTAGGTATATTAACAATTTAAGTTGGGTTATGTTTATATGCACTTTTAAAATATGTACCATTTTGAAGATGCCTTTTATGGGTATAGACTTAGTAAAAACTGAACAACATTTTTGTTACAAGACGGAGATCCAAAATGGCTGAGCAAACCTTTTTTATAAAAAAGGGGAAAAAAGGACTTAGTTTAAAGCATTTTTTAACAACGTCAAATTAATTGTCCAACTGTAATTCCAGCAAGCAAGCCATTCTAACAGGTATTTGATACTGTTGAACTCTTAGTTCAGTTTTTTTCCTTCAATAAAAAAGGCACACATTTTCATTTACATTCCAGGCAGTTAGGAGAAGGAGACTATTTTATTGTACAGGCTTTCATCTGATGTTTTTGCTTGAAAATCTTATGTGCTATAATTCCATGAATTAAAAATCATTAAGACTATCATTCTGGATCTGAGGACTTTTTGATAGATTTCCAAAAATGAATTTAACTTCAGGAAGTTTTGATAAGTGGATGTAATAATTAATCTAATTTTGTATAGTTTTTGTAAATAGATTAACATCCTGCGAATGCTTTTTGTCCCATCACTAATTAATTGTAGTTGTTTGATACCAAAATAAATGTAGGTAGAGACTATTAACTTAAAATAAATTTTTTTTGTAAAATATAAATCTGAAACTGTTGTTTTTATATTTGCTAACAAATATAGTATATTTATAAGGCATGTTCTGTTGGTGTTGTGTGAGGATTTTCCTTATACACAAAAGAACTTAGAGGGATTGTGTCTTTTTAGGTGGCTTAATTATATATACATTTTAGAGGATCTCTTTTGGAAATAGTACTTGGGCTTCCCTGATAGCTCGGTTGGTAATCTGCCTACAATGCAGGAGACCCCAGTTTGATCCTGGGTGGGGAAGATCCGCTGGAGAAGGGATAGGCTACCCACTCCAGTATTCTTGGACTTCCGTTGTGAAGCAGCTGATAAAGAATCTGCCTGCAATGTGGAAAACCTGGGTTTAATCCTTGGGTTGGAAAGATCCACTGGAGAAGGGAAAGGCTACCCATTCCAGTATTCTGGCCCAGAGAATTCCATGGATTGTATAGTCCATAGGGTCACAAAGAGTCAGACACGACTGACTGATTTTCACTTTCTTTTTCACCTATGGAAATAGTATATATGAAACACTGGAGTAGCAGTTACAAATTCATTTTTGTTGTTCCTGAACATGCCTTTAAATAATCCTGTCATTTCTTTTTTCTTGCTGAATCTTTGTAATGAAGCACAGAGGCCTGTATCATTTGAAATGCTTCTCTTAGGCTGATAAACCTGGGTATGATTTAAATAGTTCTCATCGTTACTGCTTCAAGATGAAAAAAATCAGTTTCTATTTCCACTTACACTAAAAGTTAAAATGATAACAAAGTAGTTCAGAGTAAACTTTATTGCTACTTACTAATTATAAAATGCAGTAGCTGACATTTGTGTGATCAAACATAGAGTAGTAGAAAGAGGTCTGAGTGCTTTGTAGCTGATTAAAGTCACCACCTTCATGAAGCATTGTGTGCCTGCTGTATTCACTGTGCAGAATGCTTTAGAGTACATTTGACTAGAGTGGGTGTATGTGAGGAAGAATGAGTTGAACAAATTAGGCTACTTAGATTACTACCTTGGAAAATCAACTTTTTTTTTTTTTTTTGTAATGTTAAAAGACATGAGAGGTTTTTGCAAATGAGTGGCTTTAGAGAATAGGAATAAGGTTATTTTAGAAATGCCTAAGTAATGGGTAAATACCATATATTGATCTAATGCTGTCATTTAATCATCAGCTCACAGGTATTTATTGACTACCTCTAAGGTGTTTAGTCTTGTTCAGAATCTTAAACTGTTATGGTGTAGGAATGTTATGGTGTAGATTTTAGCATGGAATAGACTGATTAATAAACATGAGTGCTGCTTCATTTTATGCCTAATTCTTCCATTTTGCCAATGTAAAAAAAAAAAAATTAGTTCATGTTTAATTAGTGACCAAGAGGAAAAAAAAAATGGCAGTCTAATTCTTCATCCAAAGTCAGGTAATACTGATATTTGACTAGGAACTTTACCTGAATCTTAAATGATTGGTGGTATCTGGTATAATGGGTCCTTTGCAGTAGGCCTTGGCCCACTTTTTGATGTTCCTACTAATCCACGTGCTCAAGATATATCCTGAAAACCTATCCCTGGATGACCAGTGTAATATACTAATTATGAAAAATCACCTAAGCCTCCCAAATCCTTTTGTTGAACAGGTTGGTAATCTGCCTACAATGCAGGAGACCCCAGTTTGATCCTGGGTGGGGAAGATCCGCTGGAGAAGGGATAGGCTACCCACTCCAGTATTCTTGGACTTCCGTTGTGAAGCAGCTGATAAAGAATCTGCCTGCAATGTGGAAAACCTGGGTTTAATCCTTGGGTTGGAAAGATCCACTGGAGAAGGGAAAGGCTACCCATTCCAGTATTCTGGCCCAGAGAATTCCATGGATTGTATAGTCCATAGGGTCACAAAGAGTCAGACACGACTGACTGATTTTCACTTTCTTTTTCACCTATGGAAATAGTATATATGAAACACTGGAGCAGCAGTTACAAATTCATTTTTGTTGTTCCTGAACATGCCTTTAAATAATCCTGTCATTTCTTTTTTCTTGCTGAATCTTTGTAATGAAGCACAGAGGCCTGTATCATTTGAAATGCTTCTCTTAGGCTGATAAACCTGGGTATGATTTAAATAGTTCTCATCGTTACTGCTTCAAGATGAAAAAAATCAGTTTCTATTTCCACTTACACTAAAAGTTAAAATGATAACAAAGTAGTTCAGAGTAAACTTTATTGCTACTTACTAATTATAAAATGCAGTAGCTGACATTTGTGTGATCAAACATAGAGTAGTAGAAAGAGGTCTGAGTGCTTTGTAGCTGATTAAAGTCACCACCTTCATGAAGCATTGTGTGCCTGCTGTATTCACTGTGCAGAATGCTTTAGAGTACATTTGACTAGAGTGGGTGTATGTGAGGAAGAATGAGTTGAACAAATTAGGCTACTTAGATTACTACCTTGGAAAATCAACTTTTTTTTTTTTTTTTGTAATGTTAAAAGACATGAGAGGTTTTTGCAAATGAGTGGCTTTAGAGAATAGGAATAAGGTTATTTTAGAAATGCCTAAGTAATGGGTAAATACCATATATTGATCTAATGCTGTCATTTAATCATCAGCTCACAGGTATTTATTGACTACCTCTAAGGTGTTTAGTCTTGTTCAGAATCTTAAACTGTTATGGTGTAGGAATGTTATGGTGTAGATTTTAGCATGGAATAGACTGATTAATAAACATGAGTGCTGCTTCATTTTATGCCTAATTCTTCCATTTTGCCAATGTAAAAAAAAAAAAATTAGTTCATGTTTAATTAGTGACCAAGAGGAAAAAAAAAATGGCAGTCTAATTCTTCATCCAAAGTCAGGTAATACTGATATTTGACTAGGAACTTTACCTGAATCTTAAATGATTGGTGGTATCTGGTATAATGGGTCCTTTGCAGTAGGCCTTGGCCCACTTTTTGATGTTCCTACTAATCCACGTGCTCAAGATATATCCTGAAAACCTATCCCTGGATGACCAGTGTAATATACTAATTATGAAAAATCACCTAAGCCTCCCAAATCCTTTTGTTGAACACCATCAATTCCTTAAAACTATAGGGCAGTATATCTTTTCCTTATAAATCTTGTTGCCAAAACCTACTTTCAGGAAATCATTAGATCCTAGGGCATGATTAGCTATCTGAATAAAAGAATCATTTGGACAGTAATACAAATTGCAATAAAACATTTTTCAATGCCATTTCAAGATCGATAAAAACAGGAGTGAACCCACAATTTAGGCAAAATATAGATGGCAGCCTGAAATATTTAAAAACTATCAGTTTTATGTCATAAAAAGTAGGAAAAGAGTTTGGTTACAGATACTTTCCTTTAGTTGTATCTGTTTGTTTAAAAGACCAACATGCTTTTTACCTTAAAACTAATAGATATTTTTATATATTTTTATCTTCAAGTAGACTCCCTTTTTAAGTAGAAAAAAGTGCTGAGAGATTCGGTTTCCTTGATATTTAATTATTTAAAAATTATATTTATTATTTTATCATGTATTTGTGATAAAAATGAAAAGGGTGTGAGAGTTAAAAACAGAGGTTCTGATTCTGTCCCAGCCAGCTGTGTAACTTTGAGTAAGTATCTATTAACAGTTGAGATGAATCATTCACTGACATATAAGGTTCCTTTCTGCTATAACTGGGCTTCCCAGGTGGCCCAGATGATAACGTGTCTGCCTGCAATGTGGGAGACCCGGGTTTGATCCCTGGGTCGGGAAGATTCCCCTGGAGAAGGAAATGGCAACCTGCTCCAGTACCCTTGCCTGGAAAATCCCACGGACGGAGGAGCCTGGTAGGCTACAGTCCATGGGGTCACAGCGAGTCGGACATGACTGAGCAGTTTCACCTTCCTTTCCTTTCTGCTCTAACATCCTGATTACAATAGAAAATACCATAAAAGTTGTAAAACTTACCAAGTAGCTTTGCTTCCCAGGTGGCTCCAGTGGTGAAGAGCTTGCCTGCCAATGCAGGAGACTTTGGAGACACAGGTTCAATCCCTGGATCAGGAAGACCCCCGGAGGAGGGCACGGCCACTCACTCCAGTGTTCTTGTCTGGAGAATTCTGTGGACAGAGAAGCCTGGCAGGCTATGGTCCATTGGGTCGCAAAGAGTTGGACACGACTGAAGCGACTTAGCACATCACAACACCAAGTATTTTGAGTTCAAGTATTTCTTAGGGCTTCCCTTCCCGTTTTCTTTCCCCTTTCCCCTTTCAAAATGAAACAATCTAAACTGTCTTTGTCCCATATAGTTGCTAGATATAAACAATAATCAAGTTTTTTTTTTTTTTTCTTTTTACCTAGGCTTTATTGTCAGGGTCACTTGGTAAATATACTCTCTAAAATTGTTCACTTTGGCTTATAAACTTAGGTTGCTATCTTTAACCTTCTGCTTTATTGTATTTCAAAATAATATGTAGATAGTTTTAAGTAAAAAAAATTTTTCCCAAGGCTTATAACAAAAAACAGTACTCCCCTATTCTTTTCGTACCAACTCTTGCTACTGACAGGTAACCACTTTCAAATCTTTTAGCCTTCTTACAGATTATCTTTGTATTTCTAAGTAAAGTTATTTTTTTGCCATTCCTTAATATTTCAGTCTTATGTTTTATTTATTGGTCTATTTTGGAATATGGAAGTTAAGCTATATTCCTTCTCTCTGTTCCCTAAAAATGTAGCTTCCTCTCTCATCCTCACAATACAGTGCAGTTATTGGGTTGGCCAAAAAGTTCTTTTGAGTTTTTTCTGTAACATGGAAAATCCCCAATGGACTTTTTGGCCAACCCAATACATGATGGTTTTGGTTAAATTAGCATTCAGTATTTATACTATTTAGACTCTGTAAATATTATTCACAGCTGGGTTGTGTGGCACTTGTCATTAGATTTCCTTTTTTGTTCCAGTTTTTGGTTTTGGCTTTTTGGAATTCTTTTATAATGACCTTATTCCTTCTTTTGCTCAGTATTCTCTATAGTAGCTT